TCTTTCTAGAAACTTTCCATGCATGGCCCTGGTCATAGTTAGGTCCTCTTCCTTTGGACTTGCTCATGTTTCTTTGCCTCCTTCCCACAGGCATAATTGGAAATCTCTATCTGAATGATTCTCCCTTGAAAAAATTCAGAATCTACAGCTTAGACATGAAACAGAGCTTCTTTCAGAGGTAGGTCCTTGCCCCACACCAGTTGTGTGAGCTCATAATAATATGCAGCAAGAGCGAGCACAGCCCTATCCTCACCCCACCAGGATCCTGCAGATTCCAAGACTCAGAGGCCAAGGTGGCTTGTCCAAGGTGAGGGACAGTACCACCATTAGAACCTGCATTTGTAGACTAGGAGAATGCTCATTATACTACCTTGCCGCCCTTCTTGTGTTTTGGTTAAGAAGTAGGGAACTTGGGAGCTTTAAACAAAGAAGGGACATGTTTTAGGAATTAGGTACAGAACTGAACAGATCTAAGAAAGTCCCCTTTCTCCCTTTCCTGCCCTGTTCTATCCTTAGGTTCAGCATTGACAAATGGACTCGTATCCCTGATGTACCTACATTCCCTGCTTTCTTCTTCTGTGGCTTTGTAATTGGCTCTTCCCCTTCTGACACGTTTCTGAAACTGGAGGTTTGTAAGCCCCCTTTACCTTTCCGCGATTCTTTCTTCTGTTTTCTCAGAGGGCTGATTCAAATACCATTGTGCTTGGCCTTGATGGAGTACTATATAACACCTGCCTTCCAGGGCAGCAGAGGGAGCTCAAAGCAGAACCACCTGATGACACTTATCAGGGCCCAGGCTCCTACATCCAGCCTGGGATTGTGTGCTCTGCCTAGAAGGCTCAGAGCTAGTGGAGATGAGGTGGAACAGGCCACCTGTTAGTCTCCATGGCTGTTGAACATTGGCTCACTTTGGTCTTTTGGAAACTGAGTGAAGAACACATCTTTTTTGGTAGTGGGTGAGTATCAGGGATTGAGCTCAGGGGCACTCGACCACTGAGCCACATCCCTAGCCCTATTTTTGTATTTTCTTTTAGAGACAGGGTATCACAGAGTTGCTTAGCACCTCACTTTTGCTGAGGCTGGCTTTGAACTCGCGATCCTCCTGCCTTAGCCTCCCAAGCCACTGGGATTACAAGCCTGCACCACTACGCCCTATGTGAAGAACATATCTGATGTGTCTTCTCTGTCTTCTAGCGTGACTTTGTCATCAGTGGCTCTCATAGTAGACTAACACACTCTCTACTCTGTTTGAAGGGCTGGGAGAAGGGAGTTATATTCGTCAATGGCCAAAACCTTGGACGTTACTGGAACATCGGACCCCAGGAAACCCTCTACCTACCAGGTCCTTGGCTATTCAGAGGAAACAACCAGGTGGGCACACTTCCAGCCTCCTTCTGTTTTACTCATAACTTCCTTCCCATCCTTGCACCTGGCATCAGATTGCCTCCCTGGGAGCCCTTTGGGAGAGGGCAGAAGTTTCAGCTAGCCTATTCCTTCCAGAGTTGTTGTTCCTGTTCCTCCCAGTCTGGTTCCCAAACCCATCCCTTCCATCCCTCCTGGCTTCCTTATCTGGCTCCAGGACAGACCTCATAACTCAGCCCTTCTTTTCCCCACAGATCATCATTTTTGAGGAGGTGATGGCAGGTTCTGTGATACAGTTTACTGACACCCCTTACCTGGGCAGAAACCAGTACATTCACTAAGCAGCAGCCCTGGCACCTCCTGCCTGGTGAGCTGCTGCCTCCTCCACTCCCCTACAGGAGTGTCTCTTTAGTAGCAACCTCAGGGAGCCCAGAACTAATTTATTCCCTGCTTCAGTCTGAAACTCTAATCCTGGGAATACTGAAAAGAAAGATGGAATGACCCTGGGGCCCTCAGACCTGGATGGCTTCTCGGCCTGGTTCTGTGGATGGAGCCTTTCCCTGCTCTTCTGGAAGAGGCCAGAGCGATGTCTCTGAGGGGATGGGCATGTTTAGTTAGATCACAAAGTGATGAAACCCTGAGCCCTCAGAAAAGGTGCTGGTGATGGGAGGGCATCCTCCCCTGTACTAGTCATCACAGCCCTGCTGCTTAGTCTTCTGGACATAGGGTATGCTCTTCAAATATTCCCTGTGGAGCTTGGCCACATCCTGCATGGCCCCTTTCTGTTCCTGAAATCATGGGTTTGTCGCTATTAGTAGATGAGAAAGAAGAAGGGGCATTTCACCTAAGTCGGTTTTATTTTTCTTGACCCTTTGAGCTGCCTCTGTGATTCTGGAAGGAACTGTTTGAGAAACAACCTGTGTTTTTCTCCTTTTCATTCCCACTCACTGCATATGATAGGATGACAAACTGAGTTTAAGAGAAATGGAAATACTTATCCACTTATTTTCCTGAATTAGACAGCATTTCCAGTTATACTCAATGGGAGAAGCATCAGTTGAGGTGGAAATGTAGATCCTACCAGAAATCACAGCCCATATCTGAACTTCCAAGGAGGGAAAGGACAGAAGGCCCAGTTAAATGTCATAGGGTAGGTGACCCCCACTCCCTGGGAATTTGGGTAGTCACAAAACCTCCAGGCCTAACCCAGGCCTTACCTCCATCTTAGTAAACTCTCTTCCACTGTAACTAACCAGCAGGGGGGAGAAGCAACCTTCCGCCACAGTTGTCTCCATGTCCAAATTGGAGGTTCTTGTTTTAGAGATTCTAGAGTCCAGTTGTTTGACTCAGGTTCACTCTCCTGGATTGCAATAAAGCAATAGATTTGAATCAAGTTCTCTTTGTCAATGTCTCTGGTCTCATCTCTGCCACTCTGAGCCAGTGGAGAAGGCAGTCTGGGATCAGGAACATAGTTAGCCTCCTAGCCGTCAGTGATCCAGATTATGACCACACCAACTGTTTGTTGGTCCACACCCGTCTTCTCACCACTTCGTCTGCTTGAAATGTGGCTGGATTGGAAGTGCCCCTCGAGAGGAGAGATCAAATACAAATCCATTCTCATGCTGGTGGGCAGGGATAAGAATTTTCCAGATGGCCAAGAGTATTGCATATGAATTAGCTGGAGGGTGGGTTGGGGCAGGGCAGTTTTTCTTCGTGAACCACATCTGGCATGTACTGCACCAAACTAATTATCTTCACTAATAGTTAAAAGTCAAATAGCACATACCTTCTGAGCACAGCACCCACACAGGAGTCCAGTAAAAGTGGGTTATGACAGGGCAAAAAGGCTTACAGGGTGACCAGTTGCATCCTGTCTGTGGGTGAGCACAAGGTTTGCATTGAGAGGGGCACTGATGGTATAATGCAACCATGGAGCAAAGAGCCCAGCAAGATCAGTGGCAGTCAGTATGGCCTGCATGTCCCATTAAGAGGAGAGAAGTGGAGTTTATTAACATGATGGTTGCAGACAGTGAGTGGAGAGAAAGACAGGGGCAGAGTCCCTAATTTTGTCCAAGCTTACCAGCTCTTTATGTGATTCCTTGAAATAGCAAGCTTTGAAGTAAGATGTGGACAAGCTGAGGGCTACTTGAGTATGGCCTGAGGCATGGGGCAATGTCACAGTGTCACTTTGTCTTGTATTACATAAGAGTGGATTTCTGCAAAGCTGGACACTTGGAATTGTGACAGCAGATTAGAATTTAAAGAACTCTTACAGAAAATCCCTTTGGAAAGTGAACAGTTCCCTAAATTACACTTTTATGCACACCTATGCATTAGCCCTTTCTTAAAAAGAGATCTTACTGTAGCAACTTCTTATTCTTGACTTTATCTGTTTCCCTATCAAAGCACCTCTTGGCAGAACTTATTCTCCAAAATTCACTAAAAGTTTTTTCTAGATCTCTTTATGGTCTCATCTCATTTTCTTTGAAAGACCTCATCTCTTACCCCAGCCTAAATTCCAGGGGTCTCTGGGCTCACTCATTGGGCTCCATCTTTCTTTCATCCATACTCACTGCATGGGGTCTCAACTGTGAGACTTATGTCATGAACAACTTTGACACCAATAGCCCCTGATGTCCATCCATACCCACACTCCAGGTACACAGGCAGCTGTCCTCTCACGATCTTCTGTATATGTATAAGCATCTGCAACAGAATTCTGATTTAACCCATGTGGCCCTTCCTGCATTCTTTCCTATATCAAGAAATATCCATTCTATTCTATGGCTTAGATTATTTTTGGCTCCTATTTATGTCCCACATCCAGTCCCTCAGCAAATACTATTGGCTCTGCATCCTAAAACAAATCCAGAATTTAGTCAATTCTCTCTGCCCCAAAGCTTGAACCCTTATCCAACCCACCATCATCTCATACCTGAATTGTTGCAGAAGCTACCTCCCTGGCCAGCCCCTGCCCTTTCCATTTGTCATCAGCACAAAAGCAAAAGGGTTCTTGAAGAAGTTTGGTTAGATCATGTAGGTTCTCTGCTCCAAACCCTCCAATGCATTCTTGTTTCACTCAGTAGAAACTGAAAGCTTTGCCCTGGATCTTGGAGCTAACATGTTCTGGGCACCCCCCTCACATACCTGTCACACCTACTCCATCCATTTTCCTTGCCCAATCTGTTGCAGCCACATGATGTGCTTAGCTATGAACATTTTGTGCTCATGTTCATAGCTAAGCACTCTTCCACCTAGGGAGAGTTCTTTCTTCTTAGAACATTACATGTTGGGGTATTGCTGCTTTACTCAAAATTGCCTTATCAGGAACAAAATATATTCCATGCATGTCAAAAGAGTTATTATGTATAACTATAGTTATTAACTATAACTATAAAATATACTAATAAAAGCAGAAATAAATAAATAGGGAAAACAAGTCCCTTTTCAGAGGCCTTCTGACTGCCCTCTAAAGAATCTGAGTCTCTCTTTTTACTGTTCTCCATCTCTCCCAACTGGCTTTGTTCTTCTTCTTTCAGCAGATCCCATCTGAAATACTATTTTTTTTTTTTTTTTTTGCTATGATCCACCTCCTCTCAGTAGAGGGTAAGCTCCATGAAGACAGGGGCCTTCCCCCCCCCCCCCACTACTGCCATTTTCTGGCTTCTAGAATAATGCTGGCTCATGGTAGGCACCTGACAAATAATTGTTGGATAGTTGTGTTAATAAATAAGAATAAAAATAAGGCAGGGCTGAAAAGAATTAGGACTGTTAAAAACCATATTTGACTTTTAATTTTGAAAACAAATTAAATACAGTTAAATTAAAAGAGATCAGATGGTGCAGCTGCCTGGGCTCCCCCTCACCCCAGCCACTGCCCTGGAAACTCCTAACCCCTGGCTTCGGTTCTTTATGGTGGGGCTCACCAGCAGTGGAGCAGGGAACAGACTGGGTTTGAAAAACAAGTCGTCATTGTGGACCCAATTCTTACTTATAACAAACTCATTCTCAACAAAGATGAAGGCTGCAGTCCACCAGGGTTATAATTATAAATAAATATACATGCAGCTAAGAGAGGATATTAGGTGAAAACAACTGAACTAGCAATCTGCCAAAAATAAAATAAAATAAAATAAAAATCCTCATTTTGTTGTTCATTATTAATTTCCTGAAAATAAGCCCTAGGTTTTTGGCTAAGAAGGTGTTCTCATACCAGCCAATTTGACCTTGGTATTCAGGGCTAGTTTTCATGAGGCAGTAGAATGCCCAGACATAAATTCACTCATCTATAGATGCCCTATGCCCACCTCCTTCCTCTGTCCCATGCCATCACACTTGATGCCAAGGGGTCAGTTTCCAAAGCAATATCCAAAGTATAAGAGGTTGGGGAAAACATCCTGCACGGTGATTCAGGGGTCTGATTTAATCAGATGGTTTCATGAATACAGTGGGAAGTTATATTCATTTCAGAATAGGCAGCCAATGCTATACTGTGAATGTTAGGTGTCTGGACTGAACCCCACATACACATCCAGGAGTGGTTTCTGCATGGCCCTCAGACCTGTCCTATAAATTTTAATGGAGTAAGGGAAGGGGCTGTTAGCAGTTAAAAAATAAACACCTCTGCAGTAGGCACAGGCCCTTTACTTTTCCTTCACATGGGAGGAAAATTGTGCTTCCAACTTTCAGGAGCATGTGATCACCACCAGAGGGGCTGTCCTGGTCAGAGAGCCAGGGACCTCTCTAGGGCCCTGGGAGAACCAGGGAGCCACTACTCCCTGGGTAGAGGCAGCAGTTTGCAACTCTGTTCTCTCTCTGGAGTGGAGAGGGGACAGCTGGATATGAAGTGGGCCGGCTCTGCATGCTCCCAGCTTCAGGAGAAGTGAGATTTTATTTCCCCTTTTATATTTTAAATTAGAACGAGCAGTTTGTGCTCAAGTCTCCTTTCCTCTTAGTGTCCAACTGATCCCTGCCCCTTTTCCCTAAATCTCTCCAATCTAATTTCTCATCCCTCAAAATAGGAGCAGAAAGAAGTTGGGGACTCTCCTAGCCCCTTCTACTCTCAAGGCTGGAGGAACCGTCTGCCTCACCTATCATTGCTTACTGTAGCCATGAGGCCTGCAGTTTTCAGTAGCCACAGGAAGAAGGTTTCTTCCCTCCCCACCCTGGGCCAGGCAAGGGGCTATAGCCCAGGGCAGGGTGGGGAGGTAGTGTATGGATAGTGGGGGTCATGTTGTTCTTGGTCCAGGTCATTCAGTGACCTGTGTGGCTCTAGGCCCACCTCCTTTGCCAGTGTTGGAGAAGAAGGCTTGGGGAAAGTGGGCAAGAGAAAGGGAGTTCATTCCCACCACAGCCTGAGGTACAGGAGGAATCCACTGACAGGCTTAGGCTCCCCCCATGCAGGGCCGGGCACCTGTTGAGATAGAAGACAGCCTTATTATGCTCTGTAAACATGAACCAGAGGAGAGCCAGAGGTATGTCTGATTTGGGAGCAGTGCTCAGGAGGAGCGGATGCCAAGGAGTAGGGCATTCACAATGCCTGGAGTTGCTCTCTATCTTCGGAATTCCCTGCTGAGCATCCTGTGTGGTCGTGCTTGGCCAAGGAGGGAGCAAGGGAGGGCCATGCTCCACTTCGACTGCAGGGTCTTCTCACCTCCCTCCCAGCCCCAGCAACACTATAGGACTTGCTTATATAGAGGGGAGCTGAGCACTGGCTTTGCTGGCAACCAGACCCCCTTGCCCTCAGGTCTTTCAGGCTCCCTGGTCACATTGGATGGAGAGAACAATAAGTCTGGAATTTCTGTGCTTAAATTTTGTCCTTTGTCCTGTCATCAAGCTGGGCTCTCTTTGAAAGCCCCCAGAATAGAAAGGAGATGATGGTAGTTCCTTAGGAGTCTGCCTTGGAGGGCCCATCAGCTGTGGAGAGAGGATGGAAGGCCAAGAACAGTGTCAAAGAAGGAGGCTCCTGTGAAGGGAGAGGGGGAACAAAAGAGGTGTCAGCTCAGGGTGGGATCAGACAGGGAACAGCCAGTGTGGTAAACTGCTCAATGATGAGCCCCTAATGGAGGTCTTCCTGAGGAGGGTCTTCCACTAACAAGATAGGGAATGAACCCTATACCAAGCTCTATACTGATTTGTTCCAAATGACACCGGCCAAGGTGACTTACGATCAAGGGACAAAACAGGCAGAGTGACACCCTGTAGACCCTTTGGGCAGGGTGTCTACAAATGTTCTGGGGCCAGAGAATAGATGTCTGTCCACTGCCTGAGTTCTCACCTCTGTGTGGCATGACCTAAATAGGGAGTCCCAAGTAAGAGGTGTTTTCAAGAAGCAAAGTAGGATCATAAAAAAGTCCCTCAAAAATTCTTGGCATGGCCAAGTACAATTCACTTGTGCCAATATGTCACCTTGGATAAGTTACTTTGCTTTTCTGAAATCATTTCTGAACCTCTAAATTGTAGGTAGATCATATAGACTACCTCAATAGAGGGATTTTAAAGAATCAGATCAACATAGGTGACACTTATATTGTATTTATTATGTGCCACAGATTGTTCTCAGTACTCCCGGCAACTCATTTCACAGATGAAGAAAGAGACAGAGAAGCAAAGTTAGGTCAAACAGAAAAGGGTAGGCCTGGGTGCTAAAGTGAGCACTGGGATATATGCTTTCACTGTGTGCAACACTCTGACTACAGAACCATGGTGCCTTTGACATGGAGCAATGCATGGATCTTGACACACCCAGTTAACTGAGGGGGAACCAAAAGAAGAAAATGTAACCTTTGGATGATGGAATGCACTGAGCATGTCTAAATAGCAGTCCTTAAATAGTCTAAATAGCAGCATAACCATAACAAGTTGTCTCAGTGGACATTTTTTGGAGTGTCTGGTAGCAGAAGGACCCAGCTATGTGGGTGAAGGCTGACACCTGTTAAGCATCAGGTGGCAAAAAGGAAGGAGACTTGGCCACACCTCTTTCTCTCTTGTCCACATCTACCCTGTCTTTCCATGATGAAAGACTGAGAGCAAACCCCTTAGAGACTAATGCTGCACCCAAACCTGGCATTGTGCTGTGCAGTTCAATGCCCTCCCTGGTCTCCCTCCTACCTTCATCCTGAGGCTCAGATCTCCACTGAGGGGTCAGTGAAGCCCTTCTTCCCCTCATTCACCAACACCGGTTTCTCTGTTCGTGTGTGCCAGACCAGGATCTGTGTGTCCAGAGACACAAAACAAAGTAGGGCAGGTTTTCAACCTCACTCTGCCACCTCCCTGCTGCCTTCCACCTCCTGCAAGTAGTCCTCCTGCCCCTCCCTTGCCACCCTTGTTCCATCAAGACTTTCTCAGTTGTTCTTTATTTCTACCTAACCCCTCATTCTTGCTGTTTGTTCATGTGATGTATTCAAAATATCTGTTGGAAATGAGATATATAGAACAGAAAATAGACAAGTCCCAAGATTTCACAAGTGTGTATGTATGTATGTGTGCACATGTATATGTGTGTGCATACACAGGTGTGTGTGTATCTGCCATGGTGTGTGCATGTTTGTGTGTGTGTGTGTGGGGGGGGGCAAAGAGCACATTTGTTTAGATATATGGCTAATAATTCTTAGTTATGACCCTATGGCCACCCCTCTCATGTCCCTGCCTACTTTCATTGTGGAAGATAAACTATCTTCCTGGGTGGGGGTTTCAAATAGGCAAGATCATTTTGAGGTGTCTCCTTGCCCCTGATCTGTAGAGAGGCTCTTAATGGTCATAGGAACACTTGCATTACAGTCATTAATTCTGTAGAGATTCCTACCTTGGTACAGTTGGATGCCTTGGGCTCCAAATCATTGAGGGTAACAAGTTCTCGAAGGAGGCTACTTTCCTGGTAGCCTCCTTTCACGCCACGCAGCTTGAAGTAAGCCTGGCTTCGCTGTAGAATGAGCCTCAGGTTGACAGCAAATCCAGCCATGTCTATGGCAAATGGTCGATGGGGATCGAACACTGTCTTCCAGCCAACCACCTTCCCTGCCCCGTTCACCCGTGGGGCCTCATAACGAAGTCCACCAACAAAGGCCACAGGCCACACGGACACCCTCCTGGTGCTGCGCATCTACAAGGGGAAGCCAGAGTCAGAACACCTGAGTATACCGAATGGCACCCATCCCCAAGGGAGGTGAAATCAATTAATTATATGCGTGGGGTCCATTTAAAGTCATGGGGAAGGGAGATACAGTCCCACCCTACCTCTATATGCCATCCTGTAGATGGCAACTGATGGGCTCCTGCAAGGGGAATCTCCTCTAGGCTGCAGGAGGACCCAACTCCCAATCCAGCTGACCACCTTCTCAATGTGACCCAATTGCTGTTTTCTCCCTTGCACAAAACATTTCATTGTGGCCATTTATCTATCTGAAATGATGACTCCTCCTCCCCTAGGCTTGCATGACCCAGGACTCCAAAGAAACTCAGACTGTTCCACTGAAAATGTTTCTGGTTGTCATACAAAGTGGCCCTACTCAAAGACCTCAAACTGCTCCTCTACGGCCAGGGCCATTTAGGAATGCCACCACCACTCTTGCCTTTAACCAGTGGAGGATGCTTTTGCCAACATATGGTATTTTCTATGCCCTTCCCTGGTCCTCTTGTGTCTTCACCCACCCCAGTTTGGCAACCCCCTTTCCTGGGTTTCCTTATGTGTATGTACCCACACCCAAAACTCCCCAGTGTCTTTCTTCTTGCTAGAGGCCCTGCATCCATCAGCATCTCCAATCTCTGTCTGCCAACTCTCCTTCCTCTTCATCCCTCCCGCACCTCCTCAAAGAGCTCCAGACTGTAGGTATTGTCGTCGTCAGCAAAGTACACCACACCAGGCTGGGTGGAGTTACGCGGGAAAGTCTCTCGCAGCCAGCGCAGGGCCAGGTTGCGCTGCATGGTGCCCCGTGGGATGCGCGGGTCACGGGCATCTCCTCGCAACTTGTAGTTGCGGGGTGTCTCCACATGCAGGTGAGTGTAATTGAGACCGGTGTCGCGCAGCAGGCGCGCAGTCAGTGGCGTACGACGAGGTGCATCCTCCACCACTAGCCAGTGCAGGTTGGGAACATGCAGCAGCGTGTTGGCCATGCGCGTCAGCTCGGCCTTTTGAACTGGGCGGCTGTAGGTGGGCGTCACGACGTGGATGGTGGGTAGGGTGTCGGACCAAGGCGGGGGCCTAGTGTATACGTATTCGGTGCGCACGACCTCCACGATGTCACGGTCGGACATGCAGTACTCCCTTGAGTCTGCGCCTGGCACCGCATCCCGCCGTGGGTCGCTGCCCTCATCTGCAAAGATGAGAGACAGGCGGTGTGGGGACAAATGCTGGCCTGGCTCTGGCCCCATTACAGGACACTGACTCCAACTACCCTACTAAGACAGCCCTCTCTACCCACTCTGCAGGAACATCATCAGTATACTGCTTTATTTGCAGGACCTGTTAGAATTAAAGTTGAAATCTGCACCCCTGGAATTCTCACAGGGATTTCCCTAACTCCCTAGATGACACGGAAATAATCTCTCTCTTATCTTCACATTAGACAGTCCTGTAATTATTTGAGTACAGCTGGCCATAGCCCAAGCTTGCACTCTCAGTTCCTAAACACACTGGATTTTATATGATGGTGTCCTGACCCTCCCTTCCCTAGTGCCCTCCTTATCTGGTGCAACTAACTACATAGCAGATTGACACTGATACATTCTGTGGTGGGGATGTCACAAAACTCAAGGGCAGCATTAATCTCATGGCTGCAGCACACTGTGGACCCTGAAGGATCCCAATATTAACTTGCCCCAGATTTTTTTTTTTTTTCAAATCTTTTAGTTAAGTGGGGCCTCTTTCCCCTTGGCCATATATAATCAATTATTAGAATCATGGTGCAGAACCTAATATTTAATTATTACATTGGATTTTAGTGAGTTTTACCCATAATTGTAAAAATAATTTTGAAACCTGAATATTATTCCTGATTGCATATATTCCTCCATTTTCGTATACAAAAAAAGAAAAAGAAAAAGAAAAAAGAAAAAAAAAAGGACAAACAGACCTGTTTTAACTTCTTCCAAGGGTTTGGTGTCAATCTCCTAATCTGCACCTTCTTGGCACACTCACTGAGCTATTTGAGACACTAACTGCACACCACTGTACTCTCACCCTATTAGTGTTATTGTCTCCACCTCAAGAATGCCATCAGGGACACTGAAACTTGCAAACCCTGCTCTCTGAGTAAACAGTCCCAGACATGGGGATATTACTTCCTGCAGGCAACTTGCTTCAAGTGCAGGAAGCTCTAATGACCTAGGTATTTCTTACATGCTGGACATCCTCTTCCATGGGGAATTGAGCAGTCTTATAGAAGGAAAATCAAGAGCAATGGCATTCTTGTTTTCAATGAGTTTCTACTTTCCAAATTATGTCATTCTGTTTGAAAAACTCATGTAGCAATGATAGTGTGGCTCACATACTCTCAGTGGAGGGATCATGGTCAGAGGACAGACCTAGAAACCTGAATGCCTGGGTTCAGACCCTGTCTTTCTGTCTTTATTAACTATATGTCCTTGAACAAGTTACTTAGCTTTTGGTGCCTTGATTTCAGTGACTGTAAAATGGAACTAATAATAGCATCTATTTTATTGAGTTATTATGTAGATTAATGAGTCGAGACACTTGAAGGACTCAGAGCACTGCAAGGCATATTTGCTGTCATTTCCTGGTGTGTAGAAGGACATTAGCTGTCCTACTTCCTCATGGCTCCATACAGTTTCAGTAAAGATGAAATGAAAGGGCTGGAGCGAGGTCAAAGAGAGGATGCTAGGCATCAACCATTTTGTTCCCTCCCTCTGTTCAACTTCCGCCATCGTTAGCAGCATGCAAGCTGTGTGGGTGCTTGTGTGGAATCTAATACGGATGAACCTAGAAGAGGACCTGCTCCAGCTCTTAGTGCTCACAGGCCAATGGCACAAGACACATAAGAGGAGCTGTGAGTCTATTACCCATGCTACAGAGAAGATATTGTGGCAGGGGGAGACTAGCACAAGTACAGGTCTTCAAAAGTGTTTTTTTGGAGAAGTTTTGGGTAGAACTGTGAAAAGAAAACTAGGTTGAACTAAGAGGGATGGGTGTTCAGGATTCTGACAAAGATATTAGGTTTAATTCATCCTATGGTCAATAAAGTCTTAGAAATCATGGTTTGGAAAGGAGATTTAGGACCATTTTACCAAGTGTTCTGCTGTCCAGATTATTCCAAACATTTGCCCTGGGAAAGTTCTCTATGAATTGGGATTCTGTACCTGTACTCTGCCCTTCTCACTGGCTTTAGGGCTTCTGCACTTCTGAGACATAAAGGCCTCCTTATGACCCTAATGTCATTTAACTGCAGATTTCACTCAATCCCTCTTGGAATGTTCAGAGAAGACAATGTCAAGTTACCATCCTTGGGAAGTAAAACAGCCTAATGTCTCCAACCCTAGCTCTGCCAGCAATGAACATACTATAATCATTTTTCTAGATGGTAGTTTGAACCCCTCTGGGATGATGTATTGGCAGGATAACAACAGTTCTAAACTGACAAGCACCAGAGGCATTGGGGTCAGCAGAAGATGACATCAGAGAAGCCCAAAGTGTCCAGCACAGGCAGTGAGGCTACAGCAATCTTAAGCTTAGCTCTTTCTCCTGAAAGCTTCAGGAAACTCTAGAGGTTTGCAAGATGTTTATCTGTGTGAAGCAGCACAATGTAGGCTGTGATTTGTGGATATGGCCTGCATCTGAGTCACTTGATTTGTACAGGCTACAGTGGAAACCCAGATCGTACTTCAGTACCACTATCTTCATCCCTGGGATAGGCTTGGGTGCCTTCCTGTTTTATCATGATCACAAGTAAGATAATTCACATTGGGCTGGGGGAGGGGGGTCGTTCAATACTAGTAGAGTGCCTGCCTAGCATGTGAACACGTGGGAAGCCCTGGAGTCCCTTCTTAGCACCATGGGTGGGGAAAGAAGACACTTTGCTTTGGTAGAATTGCTGCTTCCCCCAAGTGTTGCACATGTGTGTGTGTATTGAGGGCTGGAGTAGGAGGGGACAAGAAAACATGAGACTGAAGGCTAAGCAATGAGAGCAGATGTGGAGCACATAGAAGCCTTTGGGGTATAAAGTGTTTAGGTGTGGGAGGGAAAGGCAACCCTGGGACTCAGCTGGGAGAAGGAAGTTCAAATCCCAATTCTTCCACTAGCTTCTGATAGGACTCTTCCTCTTTCCAGGCCTACTGCCACTAGATACTAGGGTTTTCTAAGCAAGAAAAGGGGACAAGCTATATACTCTTCTTAAAGGTGCTATAACACAATACAGGGTAAGGTTGGTGGTCCAGTGGTAGAGTGCTTGCCTAGTATACACAAGATGCTGGATTTGATCTTCAGCAACCCAAAATAAAACAATAACCACACACACACACAAAAAAAAAAAAAAAAAAAATAGGCCAGAAATCCTATCCTTTCCTCCTCACTCCCCGCTAAGTGATCCTGTTCTTTGCACATGGGACGAGGAGGTAAAACTGTATATGTAGTTGTCTCTGCATGTGAGTATTAATCGTGTTTGTTTTAAAATTTTCTGTATTTGATTTTTTTTGTGTGTATGTAGGGTTTTTATTTGTTGTACTATGGATTGAACCCAGAGGCACTCTTCTGAGCTACATCCCCAGCCCTTTTTATTTTATATTTTGAGACAGGCTCTCATTAAATTGTGAAGACCAGCCTTGAACTTGCAATCCTCCTACCTCAGTCTCCCAAGTAGCTGGGATTACAGGTGTGTGCTATGGCACCTGGTTGTTGCTTTGGCTTCTTGGGGCCTTACAGACCTGAGAAGGGGCTGCCTCTCCCAGGACTAGCTAGAAATAATAAACAATTGTCTGCAAACCACTTTTCATATGCCAACGAACCAACTCAGAGGCACACCCCCACCCACCTCCTTTATCAAAAACTGCAAGCCAATCTTACCCTATCCTAAATCACCAAGTATCAGTACCAGACAATTAAAAGCTACCTGTCATATCTTGGAACACACTGAAATTATTCAAACTGTCAAAATTCCAAGCCTGCTCAGAGGTTTTGCTCAGCTCTTTCTTTCCTGCAAAATCACAATAGAGGCATATCTACAGGCTTGCCTCTCACCCTTTTACTTCCTGAACAATCCCAGTGTCCCTGTGTAGCATGATATGGCCCCTCCTCTTGGGAACTGAGAGTAACAGCTCTTTCAAGGAGCTCTCACTAAGGAAACTGGGCTGGGGACTAAGCAGGGAGGGTAGGCAGGGCTCACCCTTGTGCACAGCAAGTAGAGGTGCAAGAGTGCTCTGGTGCCAGACAGTGATGAGAAGAGTCCAGGGCAGCACGATGAGGACGATCGCAAGGATGTCCCGTCTCTTCGGCATCTCCAAGGCTGGCTGCGCCCACAGCTCCTCATTACCTGAGTGGCGGTAAGGTCAGGAGAGGGGTGGCCACAGGGCAGCGGCAGCACAGGGGAAAAAAGAAAAGGCATGGGCCGGCCGGCCAGGCATGGAGAGAATAGAGAAGCTGAACGCTGGCTAGTAGGTCTTACCAGCATTCACAACCCACCCATTGCGGAAGCAGGTTTGCAGAGTCCAGCCTGACAGGAGTCTGAGAAGGGGCAGTTGTCCAGGGGCAAGGTCAGGAACCCTCAGAGATGGACACCTGTAAGAGAGAGCAGAAGAGGATGGCCAGAGACCGAAGCACGGGTGTGGACCCCCAGCAAGAGTCAGGCCCCACTCTGGGACATATAGAATCAAGTTTCTCAATGAAGTCTTTCTTGATCTTCTCTCTGAAGACCTCATCTCTGGTGAGAGTCCATTAATAAGAGTCAATAGGGTATAGGCATGACAGCCACAGCTTCAGAGATACCTGCCTTAGTTTAAGTCCCAAGTGTTTCATCCACAAGCTGTGATCTTGCACAGTTACATCAACCCTGCACTGCACTTTAGTATTTCTCTTCTAGAAAATTGTGTATCTACTTCTCAAGGCTGTTCTTAGAATTAAATGAGTTGATGTTCATAAAGCTCTTAGGGTTGTCTCCCATGTAAGAGTACAAGAAACGTTAGCTTTTGTGATATCCAAATTTGTGGGCCCAGATTTTTTTTCCCCATAGCCTGGGTACTGCAATAGAGTTAGGAGGCTTCCTTCAAGAACAAGGAAGAGATCTTTTAGGGTTAGGTTCTGGGAAGAAATGTGGCAAATGCATTCCTCTATTATTGTCCACAGGAAATTCTTTTGGGGCACTACTCCATGCAGGATGAGTGCCAGGTTCTGTACTTGGACATGATGACCAGGATTTTGTTGTCCTCAGTTTTGGAAGTAGTGTGCTTTTATTCTTCTCAGGTCTTCTCTTCTCTTCTGATGCCCTTTGGAATACCAAACTTTGCTTTCCATTCTGGTTTCCTGGGTCAGCCTCTGCTCACCTCTTCCCACCAAAGGTCCACTGCCTCCAGAATCTGTCTGCAAGGGCAGATACAAGCATCAGCCTTACCTTAAGTGACAGAACATTAGGGTTAAAGGAAACAGAGGCCAATGCAGGAGGAACCATCATTCTGAGCTGTTGTGCTCTACTGCACTCCTTAGCCGACCCTATAAGTGACAGAGCCTAGTGGCACATAAGAATGCTATGGGTCTTGTGTGAGAAGCAGAGTGACCTTATGCCATACCCTTTGGATCAGAGTGCAGGCTACTGGCAGGGCTCTATTGGGTTCCACATAAATGCCATATTCTGGCTGATGTGACCTTATATTACATCTAAAGAAGGATGGGGAGTGCTATGCTTTAATATGGTTTGTCCTCTCTGAAACGTGTTGAAATTTGATTGTTGTTGTGGCACTATAGCGAGGTGGGCCCATTAAGAGGTGATGATATTATTAGGAGGGATTATTGCCTTTCTCACAAGAGTGGGTTCATTCCTTGCAAGAACAAGTTGTTATAAAGTAAGGCTATCCATCATGTTTTATCTCTTCCATTTGTGCTTGCTCGGCCTTCTGCTTTATAGTGAGTTGAAGCAGCATGAGGCCCTCACTAGCACCACAATCTTAGACTTCCCAACCTCCAGAGAATCATGTGCTAAATAAACTACTTTCCTTTTGTATCACCCAGTCTCAGGTATTCTATTATAGTAACAGAAAATGGCCTGACTGAGGCTACCAAAACATCTGAGAAGATTTATTCTATGTTCTTAGAGATTCACATAGAAGCTTTCTTAAACATCCTGGTTTTCCTGAAGCTTTTAATTCCAGGATGGAGAAAACTGAGGAAAGAAAGTGAGCACCACACCCACTCAGTTGATATGGGGCTAGCTTCCATGTCAGTACTTTCCTGCTTTTAATAGGCTTTACCCTTTGGGAAGTCACTTTATCCCACAGCTTCCACCTCTGACACCTGCTCAACCTCCCACTGGTCTGCTTGGGCTCTTGTTAATGACAACAAGGTTTCCCATAGTGTTCATGATGTACAAGGACTAGGCTCAACAGTTAACACACATCTGCTCCCTGAAGTACTCACAACCACCCTGTGAGGCAGGTTTTATCATGATCCCTATTTTATAGTTGGATCCATGGAAGTCAGAGAAAGTAATTTGCCCCTGGTCAATAATTAGAAAATGGTGCAGTTAGCTTTAAATCAGGGCCATGTGGCTATATGCTATCATCAGGAGCATGCCTGAACCCTTCAGAACTGGGTCAGGCATGGGGACACATACAGGCTACAGGCTTTCTCTGGCCTGGACAAAAACCTGTTCAAGAGCCACTGTCCTCCAACCTAACTGCTTGCGTTGTGGGTCCCAGAACCTGACTGGACAATGAAGCAAAAATAAAAGGGAAAAGATAGGGACATGGTACAAGAAGCCACAGCAGCACCTGAACTCATTTAGTTTTTGGTCAAAATATCTATGAGAGGAAAGGGAGGGGACTGAGGGAGAAAAGCTCTAAAAATAAACTTGCAATAAACCCAGTTGCGCATTAATTACTCTGGAAGCCATTACGGCTTGAAAACCCCATAACTTTAATGGAGGCTATTATAAGCATAGTGGCAAAATTGTGGAGCTAATTACCAGGCGGTTATTAAGTAGAACCAAGAGAGTCCTCAGTCTTGGAGAAAGCCATCTGGCCAGCAGGGGGTGGAATCACAGGAAATGATGCCTGATTGTGTGTAGGGAGTGGGGTTGGGGGAGGGTTCACCTATGCCTGAATCCAAGACAGGGCTGCAGGGATATCCAATGTGGGTTACTCCTCCACAGCCTATAGCTTCTGCTTGAGGAAGGATGGTAGTTGTCTGTGGTTGCACGTTGTATCCACTGTGGAACTCAGAATGGCTTCTGGGCCCTTGGTTGGCATGGGCAGAAGAATAAACACAAAGGTGGTAAGAGAAGCCTGGTCTAGCCAGGCGCGCCCAGGAAAGAAGAGGGGGAAATGGTGGAGAGAGCAAGGTGAAGGAGGAATGGGGGGTTACAGTGAGAGAGGAAAAGTAGTGTGAGCAAGTGTGAAGATCCAGGCTCTGCTGTGGCTATGTCTCCCCACCCCTACACTCATACCCATGCCTGTGACAGACCCTGACTATCACCACTGTCTCTCCCTCAGCAAGTGAGGAAATGAGGAGGCTCCCTTCTCCTGAGATTTCTCAAAGCATCCACTGGGCAGAGACAAAGCCTACATTGTGGTTACCAGGGGTGAGGCCCAGTGGGGGACAGTCATTGGAGGAGGAGCAGCAGCAGCTGGTGGCAGCAGTATCCTGGTCGGCTCCACATGGGACTGTGGTTATGTTGCTTGCCCCTCTTGATTTCTGCTTTCATCCTTAAAGCATTGAGATTGGTCAGAAGAGTTTCACAGAATTTTCAGTTCTGCCATTTTAGTTTATTGAAGCTAAGATAGTTGGGGCTCTGTGAGAATGAAGATGTGAGATGTGAGATATCCCCCAAAAGCTCATGTGTGAGACAACGTGACAGAGTTCAGAGGGGAAATGATTGATCTGTGAGAGCCTTAAACTAATCATCGAATGAATCCCCTGATAAGTATTAACTGGTACCTGAAGCAAAATTGGGGTCTGGTTTTGGGGTATATATTTGTATCTGGCAAGTGGAGTCGCACTCTCTGCTTCCTGACCACCATGTGAGCTGCTTCCCTCTGCCATACTCTTCTGCCATGATGTTCTGCCTCATCTTGAGCCCCAAGGAATGAAGTCGGCCTTCTATGGACTAAGACCTCTGAAACCATGAGCCCTCAAATAAACGTTTCCTCCTCTAAAATTGTTCTGGTCAGATCCTTTAGACACAGCAGCAAAAAAAAAAAAAAAAAAAGCTGACTTAAACATCCTGCTTGAAGCAGATGGTATCCAGGTGGGTATCTAGGCCAGAGACAAAGCCAGAAGGACAAAATAACAGCTGTCCATTGGGACATCATGAAAGCCCATAAACTTATGAAGCTGGATCATATCTGGAAACAACTATCTATAGGAATTCATTAGTTTTACAGTGCCCTGGGCTGTGGATGAGACCTAGGGGGTGCCTGAGACTCAGAGAGAAAGGTTCTGATCATTTAAAATTTGGGCAAATCAGGCTAGACAGCCAGGAATGGCTGGGTCTGAGAGGGTCAGGAGAGTGTGCAAGGTTGGTTCAAGGCTGACTAATTCTACAGTCTGGAAAGGCTATTTTTTCTGAACATGTGTTTGTTAAAAAATAAAAATAAATAAAAATAAAACCTCAGTAATGCCCGGCATCCCTGAAGGGACTCATTGAATTCCATTTGACAAATATTATGCACATCCAAAGTGAGCAAGGCACTGTTAGATCTGTGGGTGATACAGCAGTGTCAAAGAAAACAGGGGCTTCCCTCAAGGGTCTCCTAGTCCAAACCAGAGGAGACTTTACACAGGTCACTCCAAGGCAAGTGATGTGTGAGGTGCACATAATGTTTGAGAGATGTGTGTGCATGTGCATATGTGTGTCCACACATATTTCAGGCTAGTTACAAACAAACTCAGAACTCATCTACACCACTCATCTCTGGAGGATAATCAAAGACTTTTTACCTAATAAGATTAGAAGCAGTAGTTAGTTGGTTAATCAAGAAAACCATGAAAGTAAGGTTCTTTCAGATGATACATACATACATGCCTTTCACATTTCAAGGTAAATAACTTTTGAAGATCCAGATGTTGTTGCTTCCCCTGAATACAAATCTGTGATCATTTTTCCAAAATTCAAATTGCCCATTGCTGGATGGCTTTTAACGTTTCCACTTTTTCAGCACAGAGCCAGGACTTCTCCTATGCCAAGAGGTAGCCAATGGGACATTTGCACTGAACTGGCATCAAGCTCATCATAGCAAGTGCTCATTGTGGTTAAAGAAGTGGTTAGAGAACTAAGAACCCTTGGTGAGCAGTTTGAGTGCAATACCCATTAGAATGCTTATAACTTATGACATCAATCTTCAGTTAATTTGGAGACTGTTTTTCCCACATTCTCCATACGAGGTCTTTTGAGAGATACTATTTAGTTTTCATAGAAACAACACACTTATTTCAACACATCATCTCAATGGTATCTCTAATATTCTGTGATGATAACAAGCACTACCATCATAAAAAGGTTGGGGACAAATGTTTGACTCTCAGTAAGCATGTGCTCAGCAGCTTAGGAGCCCAGGAGACCCCCCATCCCTGCATTGCTCTGGCACACTGGCATGGTTCAGTGTGCTTTATGAACTAAATGGAGTACACAGGCAACTTGCTGAATTAGTTGATAAAAGAAACGTTGGTTCAGAAAGTTGGGCTGGCAGTGTGGTTCAGTGGTAGAATACTTATCTAGCATGAGTGAAGCGCTGAGTTCCATCCCCAGCACTGCAAAACAAACAAACAAACAAAAAAACCTCTATTCATGCACAGAAGTACATTAATATCACATCATTCAGGAGCCTGGGTTTTCCAGACAGAGGCAGAGGCTGAAGGCTCCTTGCATGGTATCATAACCAGCATCACAGAAGTTGCTGGGGGAGCTGGTGTGGTTGGAGAAGGTCCCCATTCCTCTGGGCATGAGAGTGGGGCTGTGACAACAGGAGGAAGGAGGAATGGAGATTTTAAAGAAAGATAAGGGGAGGGATGCTGGCCAAGGTTCCAACATCTCCCTCCAGTCCTACTCAGGTCTTTCCCAAACAGAGGGAGACACAAACTTTGTCCCAGAAATCTGCAGGAGCCCCTAATGGGATCAAGGGATTAGTATTGATTCTGCAGGCACTGCTCAGAAAAAGCCCAATGCCAGAGCTAATCAGCTCCCAGCACAGTCAATCCATACTTCATTAACCTGGCCCTAGCACTCTAGCCACCAGCAATTGCCCTGGGGCCCACACAGCCCTGCTATGGGGCAGGACACAGGAATCGACAGAAGCTTAGAAAGGCTGCATGACCCAAAGACCCAATGTTTAGGGTGAGCAGAGGCCTGAAATTCTGGATGCAGCTGCCTCCTTTGCTGCCTTCTTCTGCAGACACATCTAGATCTTACTTCCTGGATGTCCTGGCCCACACTTGGGCCCACCCTCTGGGGACTTCTGCCCCAGGGTTTGATTGATACGACCTTGCTGAGTCTGTCCCCATTCTGATGGTCAGGTCCAGTACCCCCAGGAAGGGTCTATGAGACTCTTAAGGCTGCAGGACTCCCCCTTTGTCCCCTGCTCCCATGGTGCTGCATGAAGGAGTAGAGGAAGGCCTGGACCTGGGGACGACTGTCCTGATTTCCAGGCCTGACCCCCTGCTGGCTGGCACCTGTGGATAGTATTCCTGATCTTCTGCCATGTTCTTTTCTATCTGGGAAAAACCAAGCCAAGTAATCAAACAGAAAGGAAGCATTATGTCAATTCAGACTTGGTGTAAAGAATAGTTTTATGTTTTGGTTCTTTTCTAGGCCAACAGTGTCAAAAAATATAATCCACTGAGTTTTTTTTTTTTTTTTAAGGAAATTCCTTTGTTGTTCTTTTTCTTTTCTAGCAATAGCCTTCAGATTAGATCTGGATTATGATTCTGTGAAAAATGAAAATTGGGTTTTAGTTTAGTGTGGTTCTCTGCAAGTAAAAGTCCATTCTAGTTCATGGGAGGAATTTGAACATAATAAATATTGACCCCAGATGATTTTGCTGATGTTCCCTTAGTTGTGCAAATAATGGTCTCCAGGCAGAAGTACATCCACTTTCCTTAGAGTCTTCCAAGTGTGAGGACCTGAAAGCAAAAATCAAATGTTTTGTCCTGTGAGGACAGCTCAGGTTCTTGTCCTCTTTGGGATCATTGGAGCTGGGGTACAAGCAAACAAATGATTTACTGCTTAGTTGTTCAAGAGTAAGAGAGTCAGGGAGAAAGTGGCAGCTAATAAGACAAACCCGACAGAGAACTGGGCACAGAGGATAATGGTTAGCAGAATCATGGAGGACTCCCAGTGAAAAACCACCATGTAGAGAGCCATCGTGGGTGACAGCCCATGTCTCAGGGATCGGGTACCCTGTGGCTGAGAGGATGAAGGTATCTAACATTAACATGGACAGTGATCAGAACAGCACAGACCATTCAGCCCTTGCCTGCATGATGTAGAAACAGTGACTATCTTTGGGGTTTGCAGGACTGGGGAGCAGTCCCTACAAAAAAACCCCTGCAGCCCAACCTGGGTCAGGGGAGAGGTTTGATGTTGGAATGTAGTGGCCTCTCCCACCTCCTTTACCCTCCTTCATTACTATCCTATCCTCCCCTCTCCTTGCCCTAGGCCCATTCTGGTAGCCATGTCAGCTCTTGGAAGGGGATGCCACTATTCCCATGACAAGCACATCACATTCACTTTCTATTGATGTCAAACAAATGATCATATTCTTAGGAGCTTAAAATAGCACCCATTTGCTCTCTTTAATTTACATGGGTTAGGAATCCAGGCCTGGCTTCACAAGGTCTCATGAGGCTGCAAAGGAAAAACTGGGCTGTGTTCTCATCTAGAGAGTTGACTGGGGAAAGATCTGTTTCTAAGCTCACTCACATCACTGGCAGATTCCACTGCCATGGGGTGGTAAGGTTAAGGACAATATCTGCTTGCTGGCTGTTGGTTGTGAGTGTGCTCTGCTAGTAGGGACTGCTCACCTCATAGTACCTTGCCACATGGCTCCGTCCCACATGGCCTTTTTCTTTATTAAGCCAGCAGTGACAGAATCCAGAGCAGACTGTAGTCCTACAAACACAAAGTAATCCTGTGAGTGAGAGCTCCCATTTTTGCCATGTTCTACTGGTTAGAGGCTCATAGTGAGGGCTTTTCATACCTATAGAGAGGGGATTACACAGAAGCATGACCACCAGAAGAAACTACAAGGAATTCTTTAGAGTATGCCCACCACAACCAGGCAAATAGGCCACCTTCACCTTTGATTCCTCAGCTCCTGCCCAGCTCCCACCCTCCTGAGGGTCACAGCAGGGCACAATCGTACCCATGGCCTCCATCACCTCTCTTCCATCTTCCCTTTACTCTCCTATGCCCAGAAAGAGTGATCCATGCAGGGACAGTACTATCGAGAAGAGCCTGGGCCCTGGACACCCTATGGACCTCTCTTCTCTGTGTGACTTTGGCAAGGGAACCTCTCTGTGCCTGGTTTTCCCATCTATAAAATGGGAATAAGATAGTGTTTCCGCCTCTAGGTTGTTAGGACAATTGGAAAAAGTATCGTCCTAAACTACCTGGCATGTGGTTGGTGCCAATAAACAGACACTCCTGTTGCTCTTACTCTCAGAGCTTGGAAGGGCCTGGCATGGGATTCTTGGACTTGCTTTCTTCTCCTTCCAGCTAAACTCTGGCTGCTGGAAGAAAGAAGGAAGCTGCAGATGCCGGGGCTCCCATATCAACCTCAAAAGGAGAAGTAAGAAGAAAGAGAATGGCTGGGATAGTCAGAGATAATTTCACATCTCAAGAGCTAGCCTTGGCCCTACCACCATGGTGTGAAGCCACTGATAAGTTCCTTTGAATTTCCTTGGCTTCACTCCCCCCATATCCTGATGCAGTGCTGTTCCTGGCATGCTTCATTGTGACATGCCTAAGATCCAATCACTATCTTTCTTCCTAGAGGACCCCTATCTAGGGATTTTTTGTCATCCTTTTGGAGGCCAACATGAGACTCTCAGGGCTGTCCTTGATTCCCCTGTCATGGCTGGACCTCAGCTTCTAGGTGCTGCCTGAGTCCTGAAGCTACACCCCTCTGATACGGGAACAGGACAGTTCCTTGTGGGTAGTTGTCTTCCATTGTGATCTGACTCCTGTCTTTCCTCTTCAATTGAAAATGTACCCCAGCTGCCTGATTCACCATACAGATTTGTTCATGCTCAGTATCATTCTGTAAATTTCCTGGGCAACAACTTACTTAGCCTGGTGTTCAAGGTTCTTGTTCCTCTGCCCAGAGTCCCACTGTTCCAACTCCACCCCCTCCTATTCTGTAGACACCTTTGCTCCTCACCCCATAATCTATCCCTATATTCCAACACAACACCCTGTTCTTCTTCATGAGGCATTTGTGAGAACTCTGGCAGCAGGTGGACCCATCACAGTCCATGTCAGATGTTAATGCCCCACTACCATTCAAAGTAAGGTTGGGGGGCAATCCCAGGAAAGAATCTTAAATTGAGTTAAGATGCTCAAAGAACAGCCAGGACTGGCTTTCAAAGACCAGTTTCCATCCAATGTCCTTCCATCTGCAAGCCTGCCTCCTTGCCTTGGCTTCCAACCTGCCTTCTATTAGCCTCTGCCATTACTCAGTGTGCCTGTGGTACCTGGACCTGAGTGGCTATCACAGGTCCTTGTCTAGAAGTCACAGTATTAGTTTGACCATTGTGCCCTTTTCCTTTCTTACCTAACCTTCCTCTTGAGCCAATGATGTATGTTAATGGGCATGTGTATGCATCCTCTTGGCTGTTTCAATTATGGCTTTTGAGCTTTGTCAGAGAATCCTATGGTTGCATCCCTGTTCAAATAAAAGACTATCTCATGTGCTGTTGGCACACAACAGCCTCAGGTCCTGGAATATAGATGGGATGATGCCAAGATGTCAATTCAGTTTCTCTGCAGTGCTAGGGTGGGCAGACGGTCCCCACTGAAATCTACCGTTAACACAACTACTCATGCTTAATGGTGATGTGTGGCTTCCAAAATGATTTCCCATTTGTTATCTCAACTAATCATTAAACCCTTATAATACTAAAGCTTTGTTTCTGTTTTACAATTGTAGAAATTAAGACATTAGAGAATTTCATGAATGTTCCAGGCAATGACCCTGTTGCATCCCTCCTGGGCTGAAGTCCCCTGCTGGCTTCCTCCAGGGAGTCTCTTACCTGTGGCCAGCCGGCTCTGTGCCTTCAGCTCAGTAGGAATGTGGGGTCCCTCTTGGCTGTGTGCCGAAGCTGCATTCTCAACTGGCCACTTAGACTTCCCTGCCCTTTGTTGGTCACAGTTACTGAGACCTTATACTATTTTATGCCAACTAGGACATTTTTGAAGATGTAATGAGGTGATAAAACAATTAACAAGAGCCAATGGGTCAACAACTGTTATGGTCTGGGATTGTTCTAGTGCAGAGGGCATCAGGTCCCCCTAAACAGGGCCCATTGCCACCCCATGTGCAGGCGCCAGCTATGGGAATGAGTGCCAAGTGAAGACTGGGCACTTTTCCTCTCTGCTCACTCCAAGGGGAGGTCTCCAATCCTGCATGCAGTCTTCACTGAACAACCTTTATGAACTACAAACCTGAATGGCTCCTTTCTCCTTCTGCATTATGAGCTCTGGGAGCAAGTGGTTCTGACTTGCTGCTGGCAGGAACATCCCCCACATCCTCTGCCTGCCTAGCCTTCTCAGGTCCTTCTGGAGGCAGACAGAGAACTGGCAATGCATTTCACCCCAGCTCTAGGAAGTGGCCATGCCAGGATTCAGGTCCTGCCCTCAGGTTCCACATATGGTTACAGCAAAATGCTCTTTATTTAACCCACAAAGCTTCTCCTGTTTTTGGAGACTCTCTCCAGCTTGCTGAAATGCTTAAGGTACTGTGAGAGGCCTGTGAGCCACTCAGGACATCTCTAGACACAGCTTTACCTCCTACTCACATCTACTGGGTCAGCACCTGCTTAGTGGATGAGAGGTTCATCCTATTCTGCTACCAAAGAGCAGGAACTAGTGGGGCAAGACGGAGTCTACAACTACTTACAAAACAGCAGCAGCAAGGGCCACAGGGGCAGCTAATCAGAAGGCCCAACCCCTCCCTCTACCAGACTATCATGCACTAGCAATGGAAAGACTGCAATAGCCAGTGAATTCTGGGCTTGAGAAGGTGGGAGGAGTGCTACCCTCATTTCACCAGAGTCTAGAAGCAGTACCCACCCAAGACTGGCTGCCCAGGTACTAAGCACTGATTGCAACAAAGGTCTCTTAAAGCCAGATGATGGAGGTGCACACCTGCAGTATGGAACCTAGTACAGATATACCTGCAAAATCCCTGTGAGACCTAGGTGCCAGAACTAAGCAGACCAGGAAATCTATGTGGATTTGGCCCCAGACCAAGTATCTGAGCCTTGAGTTGGCCAAGATAGTGCCATGGTAGGGCTGAATGTCCTGCATACCAGCTGGGGTCTCAGGCTTGGCACCTCGAACACTATCATTGTCACCACCTTCAACCTGAGGTTTCCTCCTCCCTCTGTTACAACTGTTCTGCCCCTGAGGTCCCTTCTCTGAGGCATCAGTTAAGCCTACTATCTGAATGAGAAAGAGTTAAAGTAAGGGGCTAAAGGCAGTTGTGAGGAGCACAGCCTACAAATACTTGTGAGCCAGAGTGGGCAGTGCAAATACAGCAGGTATGAATGTAATGAATGGAGGGGTCCTTAAATCTCAGTCTGCAGATGGTAGATTATGCTGACACTATCTATATGTTCTACAGCCATATATTATACAGCAAGCTTCAGGGTGGCTATGGATCATCGATCACTGAGATGGAGCCTGAACCCACATCACAAAGGCACGTGCTCAAGGCAGGCTTGCTACATACACAGGGGGGCTCTCCAGGATCTCCTAGGCACTTGACCTCTGGCAAGGATTCTGGAAATGTTGGGACAGATTTCCCTCTCAGGGTCCCAGGAAGGTGGTGGGGTAGAGAGGGTTTGGTACAGGATCCAAGCATCCCTCCACTGGTCAGTGTGTCATGTCTTACCTCCTTCATTGTCCTCTACCTTCTGAGGCAGGATATACTCATTCTGAGGGCTGTCATACATGGACCTGGTACCTGAGGATATTTAGGCAGCATAGGACAGATTAAAGGAGCAACCAGAGGTACCAATCAGACAACAAATAAAAATGGGTCCCTTTCTGCTCCCATGACTTTTGTTGCAGGGCTTCACTCTAAGCACAGAAGTCTCCTCTGATTCAACTCTGTTTAGACATCTCCCAACTGGGAAGGATAAGAGAGACCAAAGATTGAGCAGTTCTTGCTCCATAGCTTATTATCAAAGAAACTGTCAACTGTCTGAGTGGATAAACAAAATGTGGTACATACACACAATTAAAATGGAGGGAATTCTGACACCTGCTGCAAAATGGATGAACCTTGAGGGCATATGTTAAGTAAAACAAGCTAGCCATTTAGGACAAATATTGCATGATTCTGAAAATATGAGCTAAATGGAGTTATCATGCTCAAAGAGAGAGAAACTAGAGCAGTGGTTGCCAGGGGCCAGGGAAAGGAGGAGTTGGGAAGCGGTTTAAAAAGTACAGAATTTCCAATTTGAAAGATGAAAAACTTCTGGACATCTGTTTCACAACAATATGAATATAGCTAATACTACAGAACTGTACACTTACAATGGTTAGGATGGTAAATTTTATGTTATATATTTTTTGACCACAATTAAAAACAAAAAAGCCTGTCATCCAGAAAATCTACTTAGACAGGGTCAACAACACCTCTCAGGGCCTGGATTCTGGAGGGAAGATACTTTCCCTGCACAGAGCTGGGCTGAATGCCTGTGTTTGGTCACAGGTAGGTTGCCTGTCTACCTTCTTGAGTTGTCACTTGGAAAAATCTTCATGAAAAATCAGGCACAGGGCATGCCTGTAGGAAGCACCCTTCAGAGATTTCAGATGTGCCACTAGGAGGAATGTGCACCCACACAAGGCAGCCTTTGGTTGTCTCCCATACTGGTGCCTGGGCA